CCTGTATCAATTGCATTTCTTACAATAATTACCTTCCTATGAACAGTTTATCTTCACCAAATAGTGACACTGCTGTTTCAGAAACAAAATAATGAAATAAGTTTAATTAAGGTAAGTTCAGTTTAATTTTAACACTACAGGGATTTAGCTTTGTCTTCATGCTGAGTGGGCGGTTCACTTTGTGATATTTACTACTTATTTCAATACATATACATTGTTTATTAATGCGCTTCTGATGAGTGAAGGTGATGAAATGGAAAATTTAACGCAGAAGCAATGATAACTCCTGGAGGTGCCGATACAATGCCTGAGTGTAGCAGAAAGTACACCTTCCAAACACATCCCCAGGCAATCACGTGATACATGTATTACTAGCAGACAGATACTTTCATATGGTAGGCTCTTTCGTTTTTCCCTTTTGAGGCAAATGCTTAAATTTCAGTCCCATAGAAATCTGTCTCTTTGACCATACCTCTACTCTCAAGATTTTTAAGTAGGTCCAGGCCAATATAACAATTCAACAACTATTTCAGTTTTAGTGAAGTAATAGTACCTGGACTTTAGTAAAGCCTTTGACACCGTTTCCCACAGCATTCTGCTTGAGAAACTGCCTGCCAATGGCCTGGACAGGCACACTCTCTGCTGGGTTAAAACTGGCTGAGTGGCTGGACCCAAAGAGTGATGGTAAATGGAGTTAAATCCAGCTGGAGGCCAGTCACAAGTGGAGTTCCCCAGGGCTCAGTGTTGGGTCCAGTCCTGTTTAACATCTTTATCAATGATCTGGATGAAGGGGATTGAGTGCACCCTCAGTACATTCACAGATGACACCAAGCTGGGTGGAAGTGTTGATTTGCTTGAGTGTAGAAAGTCTCTACAGAGGGGTCTAGAGAGGTTGGATCGATGGGCTGCAACCAACTGTATAAGGGTCAACAAGGCCAAGTGCTAGGTCCTGCACTTGAGTCATAACAACCCCATACAGTGCTAGAGGCCTGGGGAAGAGTGGCTGGAAAACTGCACAGCAGAAAAGGACCTGGGGGTGTTGGCTGACAGCTGGCTGAACATGAGCCAGCAGTGTGCTCAGGTGGCCAAGAAGGCCAATGGCATCCTGGCCTGCATCAGAAACAGCGTGGCCTGCAGGCCTAGGGAAGTCATCCTTCCCCTGTACTCGGCACTGATGAGGCTACACCTTGAATACTGTGTCCAGTTTTGGGCCCCTCATGAAAAGAAGGACTTTGAGGCACTTGAGCATGTCCAGAGAAGGGCTATGAAGCTGGTGAAGGGGCTGGAGAACAAGTCTTATGAGGAGTGGCTGAGGGAACTGGGGTTGTTTAGCTTAGAGAAAAGAAGGCTGACAGTAGACCTTATCACTGTCTACAACTACCTGAAAGGAGGGTGTAGCGAGGTGGGTGTTTGTCTCTTCTCCCAAGTAACAAGTGATAGGACAAGAGGAAATGGCCTGAAGTTGTGCCAGGGGAGGTTTAGATCGGATAACAGGAAAAATTTCTTCACTGAAGGGGTTCTGAGGCACTGGAACAGGCTACTAAAGGGAGGTGGCTGAGTCACCATCCCTGGAGGTGTTTAAAAGACGGGTAGAGATATGCTCAGAGATACGGTTTAGTAGTGGGCAGGTATGGTTGGACTCGATGATCTGAAAGGTCTTTTCCAACCAAACGATCCTATGATTCTAAGGAAAATGAACTAAGTAAAATGAAGTTGCTACAACTTAACGAGTCATCAAGAAAGAACTACACAAGAAAAAACATAGAATTATTGAAAAATCCTTGAAGTACTACCTTCAGAGCAAATCAAAGGCTGAATTTACTGAGCAACAGCTCAGCAGCAACAGAACTAATCAAAGCCTGAATTTTGGTGGATAAGCTTATCAGAGTATGTCATGCCAGACCATAAAGGGAAAAATGTATGTTATAAGCTTTTTTCAGTGAAAGTATGTATTTGCCTCTGTGTGGCTTAGGGGTTCATTGTCCCCTCCCTCCAAACTGTAGAATTTTCCTGTTGTTAAGACCTTGTTTAAATTGGGTTGATACTGGCTAACTCACTAAAGTTACTTGAGGAGATGGACAAATTGGCAATGCAGGTACGTAAAGAACTTTGCCCCACAAAACCAGATTCCCATTTGTATGTAATTTTTATAGGCACATTTTAGCAGACCACTTTCAGCTCCTAGCTTTTCCAGTGTATCTTACCAGGAGCTCATGTGCTTGTAGGACCAAAAACCACTTTCTAAAACACCCACCCACCTTTCCTTCTTTGCAGACAAAAATAAAACCAAACCTGATCTGATTTTTCCTTTTGCGTTTTTTGATTACATACATGTAGTTTAAATGAAGTTAGAGCTGTATCAATGTAAAATTGAAGCTAGGCTCCTGTGAATGATGGGAGAATTTATCTTAAACTAACAATTAAAAACATAAAACAAAATTCTCTCTTGGTAACTACTGTGTTTTGATACTTCACATCATGCACTTAACTAATTTCAAATGGACAAAACAATGCATTTTGTTTCCATAGAAACATGTTAGATGAGGATGTATGTTAAACAGTCTCATCAAACGAGACTACACTGCAGAAATGGGAGCTGACAAAGTCTTCTCCTTACTATCAAGAAAAATCTCGATATTAAACCAATATTTATCTAATAGCATAAGATCCACAAGAACTTTAAAGTACAGTCTTATTTTAACATATCTCTGAAACAGAAATAACATTCAGCATATTTCTAGAAGCTTTACAACAGTCAAGGATTTTTTCTTGCAGCTAAGTACTGTGCACATTTTCGCATGAGCTGTTATGCATATTATACATACTATACATATGTATAAATGTAGTGAAAAATAATTCAGTATTAAACATTACCTGCACTCAACCCACTGCATGTAAAATCAATATTAAAGCATAAGAACATATTATTACCTAATACATACATAGTAATATAAACTGAGAAACAGGCAAAAAACTAATAGCAGACAATTACATATAGAACAGTTACGTGCTACAGGACTACTTCTTTGTGTCCATTATTTAGGATTGCGTTGACAGATAAATTACAACCCTCTTTAGTAAATTAAACCAAGAACAGGAAAATCTAATGAGATTAAAATGCACTAATAAATTTTACCTACAAGGCTAGGGATCAGTGATAGGTTTTTTAATTATGTCTTCTATAGCATTCAATCACATTAGCAGTACAGAACATAGCAGACTCCATCAATTAAAAAGATTAAAAACTTCATAACTCATTAACAATTAGGATATAATTTATCGGTATTTTACCTTAGTGAGTCCCTTACTTGACACAGAAACAAACAAGTACATACCCTGATCCAACATATCTTCCTCTTCTTTTTTGACCTGCTTCTGTAAATAACTTTTATCAGTATCCTTGGTTTCTGAAAAACGGATTTAGGATATGACGTTAACCTCTGCATGTGACTGGAATTGAGTATATTCCAAACTGGGGGAAAAAAGCCCTTCTGAAACGAGTATTTGGTATTTTTATCTATCTATAGTAGTTCTACCAAACAGTGCAGTGGTAAAACATCTGGAATAAAAAAATTACAATTTGTACTTTGCTACACAGACATATCAGTCAGATTGCTTCTGGATAATACTGCTGGTGCAACTTATATGCCTACCAGTGTTCAACAGATTATGCCAGTGGGATCCAGAAAACTATGGAAATGTGATTCAACTTTGTAGGAAACAGACAATAAAGCAAATCTTAAGAAACTGTTAATATAAAGTATTGATAATTGGCATAGAAAAGAGGTCAATCTTTTTGGAACCCAGATGATGCAGCTATAAAAATATGTTGGGAATTGAAAGATGACAATAGAAAGAAACGGACAAAAGACTATGGTAGACATTTCCACCAAAACCAAGAGCAGAATCCCATGATGGTTTATAATTAGCAATTCCAGTTTTATTCAGAATTGCATTTCCTTTTTAAGAAAATTTAACATATTAGAGCAACACAGACAAACACAACAGTGAGCATAAAAACACTTGAATAAAATGGATTACAATTTTTTTTCACCTTCATGATGTCCATGTGTCATCTTTAGCATATCAGACTTGACTGGAATAGGAATATTTGCCTCCTGTGGTATATTTCTGAACATCTCAGGGTTTGCATTCTGTGTGCAGGTCATATACGAGACAGCATGCTTGGCTTCCATATAGTACATAATGTAAAAGTTACACATTTCATCATTGGCTGTTCCTCTACACAACACAGAAAAGATGTGACAGTTAGGAAGAAATAAGCTTAATATAGTTGTTAATTAATTTAACTTGTTTAACAGAATATTGAAAGGTTGCAATGAAATGTTGAGAAGTCCCACACTAAAATATTTAATGGTTTTTGATATTCATTGCAGTGAATATCAAAAGATTCCTTCAGTTTATACTAGAGAATACCAGTTTGCACAAAATCCCCATGTATCTCAGAAATTCCTAACAACTTGGTTCCGATTCTATAGAAAACTGCATCAACTATTTAAACTGCACTTCCTTCTCATTTACCTGGTATACTCCTCATAGTCCCCAATGTGTCATCAACTATGCACATGTTCTGATTAAATAAGACAGAACTGTAACATTCACTACATCACCATTCATATAATTCTCTGTCAACCTGGCGCAATCCTACTTTAAAATTGTTGCAAATAATGTCTACTTTCCATTTCAGCAGCTATCTTTTATGACAGTTTTTCCCCCATGTTCAAGTGCATCCATTTATTGGCCAATCACACTAATTCTAATGCAGAAAAACTTAATTTCACTACATATTAAGACATCATAAATATATCTTAAAGAGAAGATAGCACTGCCGTCTTGAGAATAACTTGATCACAAGCTTCTGTAAGGAAACAGGCGTGCAAGAGGAATGATTAAACATTAGCAAAATTCGGTTCTTTGATAAATATTGTGCAGTACTTGAAACAGAAGAAGCTTTTCTGTACTGCCACATAATCCTGTCTTCAATAGAAAAATAAGCTGGTACAAAAAATATTTTTTTCTGAAAAATATTACTGAAGTAGACAATTATGTCTGAAGTAGACAATACGGGGCCTCTTTGCAACTATGATCTGTTTCTGTTTTTTTTTCCTCTGCCATATAGGTTGGTATCTTTTATTTATAGCTACCCATTTATAGCTTACATTTACAGCTACTGACAATGGAATAAGCTAGGACCTATAAAGAAACGTTCACAAAATAAAAGGTTTGATATGACAATTTTTTAATTAGCTTTCACAATTAACCAGTCAGCCCACACTCATACAAAGATATGAGGGTAGCTTATTAGCTGTTTGCAAAAGACGTCAGTGCTGACTTTTCCAGCAGCATCCTGCAGCATTCATTTATTCACCATAGCAACAATAATGACACCAGCTGGAGGGAAGACAGGAGGAACATGGGAGAAGAGACTGTTTCAAAAGAGGAACTGGTATTTTTCCATGCATTGAAAATTTAATGTCCCTCAGAGACCACAAAAATCAGACTCCGACTTAGCAAGCTCTGCTTAAGATTTTAGAAATCATTAACTTCCCTGTTGGGCTCTCAATATCTGTCACTATAATTGCCTCCTCTTTAAAACTCCAGCAGAAAAGGGGATGTGAAATCCACGTGAACTCTGGTTCACCTGACACGTTACTGTATCTAAACATTTCAAAACTGATAATTTTCAACACTTTGTCAACAACAATTTTAGTAAATTCACATAAACTCTAGAATCCTTCCATTAGATATTTGAACTCCTCAGAAATCCTGTTCTGTGAACAAGTTTAATGAGTAGAAATACTGAGGAACAAGTTAAAAATAAACAAAATTTTAAAAATCATGTTAATCACCTTCACACCACTTCCACACCAATATATTCAGATTTCGGTATATTAACAGTACACAGTGAAGCATAATGAAACAAAGGATTCAGCATCAAAAACAAAGATTACACAGTCAAAGAATCTTAAATACTGAAAGGGAACGTTTTGCTTTCATAGACAAGAACATTGACTTTCTCTTGAATAGTACGATACCTGCCAAAAATATTTTGCAAGGCAAAGATACAGGTTGCACTATTTTCCGTCTGTTAAGAGTTTTAAACAATACCTTATATTGCAACCAGAAAAACAAGCAGCCATCATGGCCCACTGCCCCTTCCTTTACAAAGATATGATCTTTACACTGAACGGGGTTCAGTTCTTTGATATGCCTTACACTGGTAAGTCATATAATACTTGACATTATATCAACTCTAATGTTTACTCTGAAACATCATTAAGTTACCTGTTATAAAAATGCAGTGGCTGCTGGCATGGAGTACTTACCAATCTGTAGCAAAACCAGAAGAAATCTTGCTTTATAAATTAGGAATAGTTGATGCCCTTCTTATTTGACAAAGGATAATTTAACCCTCTAATTTGCGAAAGTTCAAGCTTGAGGAGAAATCTAGCTAAATTAAATGGATGATTTATGAAACTTTTGAAGACATGACTCCTGCTTTACCCTTTTACACCAGGGACATTAACTCTATGCTCATATAATTACCTTGAACTTGTACGTAATCAACAGCACAAGCAAAATCAGGTTTCACTTCTGAACCTCAGTTTGCCGAACCCTATACATTTGTGTTGGGTTTGTGTGTGGGTGGTGCCTGTTTTTGGTAGTGGGGGAAGGGGCTACTCTGTGAGAAGCTTCACAAAAGCTCCCCTGGCTCCAAGGTGTACCGGCCACAGCCGAGGCTGAGCCAATTACCACTAGAGAAACACCTCTGCAATCCCTATTTGTGAGGAGAAGGAATGTCTTGAAAAGAAGAAGGTGCAGAGAACCTGGAGGAGAGACCGTTGACCTGAACAAAAGACAACCATCAGCCTAAACAAAGAGAGAGCTTTGTTGCCAGGAGGAAGAAGGAGGAGTGGGAGGACAGAGAACCTCAGACACCCAGTTCAACAGGCATGGAGTAGGAGAAGGTAAATGAAATCCCCTGCAGCCCATGGAAGTTCAGTGGCAGAACAGATACCCATGAAGGGCTCCACATTGGAGCAGCAGAAAGCTGAGCCTGAGGGCAAGTGTGACTGTATTGAGACCCCAGAGACACTCAACGACAGAGCTGGGGTAGACTCCCAGACCTGGGCAGGGAGGAGGTGTGCTGGACCAGAAGTCCATCTGCAGCCCATGGACATCCTCATGCCAAAGTTGGGAGCTGTGCCCGAAGAAGTCTGTGACTCCATAGGAGGCTTGCTTTGGAACACTTTGTTCGTGGACTTTCATGCTGGGAACAGCGCCAGAGGTGAACTGGCTGTAACCCCATTCCCTATCCCCTGTGCTGGTGCCAGGGGGAAGGTAGAGAAATCGGGAGCAAAATGATTTGAGCCCAGGAAGAAGGGAGGGGTGGGAGAAGGAGTGGTTGTTATGTCTCACTGTGCTACTCAGATGATTGATAATGAATTAAATCGATCTTTCTTCCCCAAGTTTGAGTCTGTTTTGCCCATGACCATAACTGGTGAGTGAGCCATCCCTGTCCTCATTCTAATCTGTACCCTATTTGTTGTGTCTCCCATCCCATCTCACCAGGTTGGGGGCAGTGAGTGCAGGACTGCATGGGTACCTGTGGTGAAACCACCACAACATTTAAGAGGCATGCCTGGATACCTAATTTAATTTCTCAGACTAGGAGAGGAAGCAGGATGAAAAAGGTTAGTGTGAACTATGGCGGTCATGAGATGATGTAAGATAATGGAAAGCAGTTAGTGTAACTAAAGAAAAACATGAAAAAACACCAAGACCAAATGTGTAAAGAAACAAACAGCACAGTAAGGAAGGGATAAAACCAAAACAAGAACATCTATCCTCCCTGTCAAAGTTACATACTGAGTAAGAGACTTGGCCAAAACCGAAAATTCATTCATATCAAAAGGACTAGTTGAGTATCACAGAAATAATTACAAAGTTAAAAAAGTGTAACATTGAGAATATGTCATGTTTTAACTACAGTTAGCACATATTATGAATGGTTAAACACTAACTAATCAGCTTTGGAAAAGCTAATGGACAAAGTGAAGTCTAAGTTTGTTTTAGCTTTGCCTTCTATGTGTATTAAAGATAAATCACATAAGGAATTTAAGATCTTTTTTCAGTTAGTTTAACAAAATAAAACCAAATACAAAGTAGAAAATTGAATATAGAAACTGGGAAAGTGAACACGCAGACTTGATCTGATCCTATTCAGATAAGTATTATTTCACAGTTTTCCTTTCACATTTGCATTTCCTATTTTTTCAGTGTTTATATTTGGAACTCAAAAGGTTCTTTTAATATTTCTTTTGGTCCAATGAGTATTCTGAATGGGAGCAAGACAACTGCCACATCAGGGCAATTTTGTCCAAGATTTAAATAACTTTCATTTAATTTATTTTAGCTGTGTATCTTTCCATATACCCAGCATTATTGTGAATGCACTCCTTTTCATCCATCCATTTAATATTATGGTGATAATTATTTTCCAGACATATATAGTTCATATTATGTACCAGTTTTTGTGCAATATTTTAAATACTTGCTTAAAATGCTTATGCATCGTTTCTCAAAATTCAAAGGCAGAAATTATGTAATAAAAATTTAAAGGTCTACTTGTTTCTTTAATTTCTGTTCCTATTACTTCCACATTGAAAGCATGTTAGTACATTGAAAGAAAAGAACATTATTATCCTAGGACTGTTTCTTAAACTTAAAAGATTATTATCAAACAGGAGCTACGTTGGGGAATGTTACAGAAATGCTGACAGAAGCTTTTGGAACTTGTAAAAAAAAAGGTCTACAGTAAAATTAAGGTTTTTGGATATATTTTTGTTAAGTGTTATGGCTTTTGTAAAAACCTCTTCTCAAACTTTTGCGTCAGCTGCTACTCATCAGTATTTTAACTACTCACTGAAAGACAACAAATTTGTGTTGAATCCTTAACCCTCTACTGAGATTGTGCCCACTGCACTAGAAAAGTCATCCCTTGGAGTGCTGCAGCACCTACTTGCAGAACGGTAAGATTTCTGCAGGGTATCTTCAGAGCTCTAAATGTGCTGTAAATTAGGGTTCAAAGAACTGGAGCCAGTTAAGAGATTATTAATATTGCATCTATTTTTACAGCTCTACTTGTCAACTTGATTTTACAGAGCTCTGTCTGTCATCTTTGGCTTAACAGTGTCACTGAAAAACACAGTTCAGATTTTCCTATTTATCACTACTAGTCACTTGTGTTTTCAATATTTTTCATAAAAACCTGCATCTTATTATATTGAAAAAAGTTAACTTTTACATTATTCCGAATTTTTAAGATTAGATTTTACAATGGGTCAAAATTTATCAGGATTTTATAAGCTGCCATAAATCTTATTTCTGAAATAATGAAGGGAAATTGTGAAGCTTTATTATTTTGTATTAAACAGTCAATAACTTCAACTTTAATCAACTGATTAAAAAATACATTTTTTAGAATTGATAGTTCAAATCCTTCTCTAACCGCAGAACAGCCCAACATCTGAGTAAGGTGTTTGGCAGCAGAGGTTTACCTGAGAAATATTCTGAACAATTCAGCAAAGTGATTATTCACATAAGTAAAGCAATGAACATTGTGTAGAGTTAAATCTTCAGCAAACTAGACAGCAAAACAGATCATTCTAGCAGAATTTAACAGCTTGATAGAATTCTCTTGGAAGAAGACATAAATCAAATACATTTCTATACATAACCAATGCCTTGGAAAAAATGGTTAGGAAATGGAGCAAAATTTACCCTATATGGGTGTCTGTAGTTCTGCCTTCACCACTGAACACACATCTAGCTGCCAGGATGTCATCATAGCTAACATCTACAGGATGTTCTACTGGATAGAATGCCTGAAAGAAAGGATGATTCATCATGATTAGTGGAAGCATCTCATCAATATACACACACACAAGAATGACTGTGTTACACATCTGAAAAGTAATTTCAGAATGGTTTTTGCATCATAATGTAATCATGATAATACTTGGCAGTATTCAGTCTCAGTGGCACAGCAACGTGTACCAGTGGAAAAACTGTGATGCAAGTCTGTCGGTACATGACTGCCAACTCAGCTTCTCAGTTTTAAATAGAGATAATTAAAGTTTACAGTTAGAATTAAAAAAAACAACCAACCTGTGGTAGTTGTGGACTCTGTCTACCAATCAATGTCCATTGACCATTTCTCACTCTGTATCCACTCACTACTTTACCTATAACATACCAATACATGTGTGAACGTGAAATATGCTGAAGTGTCTGCATTTTTCTGTTAAATACTTGATATTCCTATTTTGCAATAAAACTCTTACCTAGTCTGTGTGTATGAACTCTGTAGGCAAAAAGGTGCATTGGAAACCTTTTGTAATGGCACGCAATGTCTGCATCAACCACTGTTAAAACATGATGGCAATAAACAAAGAAAAACACATTATTTATCAAACAGAGAAAAGTTACATTGCTGTACTTTGGCATGAAAGCAGTTTACAAAAGGTATACCTACACTGGACAAGAGAAAATTTCAAAAGATATTGGATATTGTCTTATATTTCTGCAGTGTCCATCTCAAGATATCTGTAAAGAAAAACTAACAAAATATAGTACATGTCATTTGAAAATTATTGTGATGATGTACATACAAAATGGGGCTGAAACTCAGTAGCATTTTTTCCAGCATACTCTACTGCTACTTGACGAAGTAAAGTAATACAGTTGCTTACAGAATATGTTGAGGGACACTTAAAATAAACACAGCTATGGTAAATAGTCTACTCAGAAGAAAAATAAAATAAACAGATATAATTCTAAACTGATACAAGGCTTGATTTTAAAATTTTCTATGTAGTTCTAGGCCCGGACTTAAAGATTTAGGGGAAGATGTAGACTTTGGCAGAGAAGTGCTGTACAGATAATGTCTGCAGGCTAGTACTTGTGTTAGGTGCAGCAACAGTAGCTAAGGAAGAGCCTACAGAGAAATTCCTCTGCTGATGTCTCTCTCAGAGATATCTGGGGACTGGCTGTGTTTTTTATGTTACAACAAACTTCACGCTTTACTTAAGCAAATCTGGTGACAAGGCAGATATCAACAGGTACAGAACTGGTTTTATTCCCCTTTCCCTCATATCTCCAGCTGAAAAAGTAAATTTTTGCATTGATCAAATATTGGGGGGGAAAGGGGGCAGGAGGGAATCAGTTTGATACATTTTCATATGGAAGAACAAAGTATGTTAAGTTTCAATTAAAATTAAAAAAATATTTCAAGTTGCTGAATTCACCCAACAGTTGTAGTTTGTTGAGCATTTCACCACCTCATCCTATTTAGGCAGCTAAGTGTATATGGGACAACAAGTGTTCTCAAATGTCTAATTTAAAATTCTGGTATAACACAGGAAAATATAAGGTCAGTATTCAACTTCCTTAAAAAAGAACATTCCATGCTAGCTTGAAGAAATGATATTGAGACTATCCAATCTGAGTTTCAGTTAAAATCCACTGAGTAGGGTTCTAAATAGAAATTGTTCAGAAACTTTATTTCGCCATGTTTTTCAGCACTTTGACCTTTTAACCAACTAGGAACATAGGAATAAAATTCTTAAAGAGAAGCTCCTTACTGGTAGAAATTCCTTTATTAAAACTGAACTCTTAATAAATCACAAATAGTGTGAATTACAAATGCAGATAAAGAAGGGTCCAAAAACTTTAGGATTTTTTTGCGGGGAGGAGGGCAATAAGAAAATAGGTAGGGCTTTTTGGTAGAATATTAAGATGAAAATAAATCAAAGGAATACTCTAAGAATCCTAGAAATTTCAGTATTGTATAGATCATTACTGTTTTTACAACATTGTTTTCCACAACACCGACTGCCCATTCAGACGTAGTCATCGGGAACTATGATAAAATTTCAAAATTATAACTTTTTAAAATAATTTGTTTAATTAAACAATTAATTTGTCCATTTCCAATTCAGCAAGTCTCTGCTAAACTTCTGCAATGAGCAGTAACAGTAAATCAGACGCTGAAATTATATAATCACTTTGTAGAATTATGACTCACCTTTCTCGCCTGGTGGTATTACAGTGTTCACAGACATCATAAGATACATTCCAGCAATCAAAGGCTGCCTGCAATTCAAAACCCAAGCTCTGCTAAACAAGTCCACTCAACTGCAAGTGACACGATATGCAATACCATTTAACATCACTAATTTTTAAATGTTGGATTATGTCTGAAACTGGTCTACTGAGAAAGAAGATGTTACACAGCACTTTCCTTTCCCTCCTTTTTTCATACTGAGCTACAATTTTTAAAGCATATTGTGAAATAGGACAAAATTATCATCTACATAATTGATGTCCTTGTCCCACTTTTCTAAATATGAAGCTCTTAACATGGATCAACTTATTACTGATAGCATTGTTTCATCAAGTTTCTTAGCAGAGACAAAAATTTTTGTGAACAAATGACACACGGCTTCAAAATTCTTAATATTGTGAAGTAAGTATTACTTTTATTTCACATGTTTTCAAAGGAATCTAAATGAGGGGTTTCTGTGCCTTCTGTTCTGATGAAAAAAATCATAATAGGTAAGTAAATTTAAAGATACTTACTTTTGATGTGTCAGATGTAAAGTTACACCAGAGCAGTCCTTGTGTTTATCTGTACCAATCACAGAATAACTTAATCATTAGCAACTGAAGCCATGCAAAATTATTCCACACTAATAACATTCTTCTGTATAAAAAATATCAGAAGACAAAATAAGTTTTAATCTTACTGTTTGCAGTAAAACCTTCACACTGTGGAAACATTACTCAAATTTGCACAAATCTGAACATCACAGATTTTGCTTTTGTAGCAAAATCTAATATAGAGCAAAACTCTGGTGGATGAAAAACTAACTGCTTTTTTGGCACTAGAAATTGCAGATCTTTACGAACTAGCATCTGGGAAATGAAACGGTGTCATTTTTACAACACCATAAAAAATTTGTTTGCTTCAAACAAATTTGTATTTTGATAATAATTAGAAAATGAAAGATTTGTGTAAAAGTAATGATTTAGTCATTAACAATGAAGCAGCCAGAAATTCTTATAACAAAGTTAACATGAGATACGAATACAGACAGCGGTTCTGTTTAACATTGGATATCCTAGAAGGACAGTAAAAATAGTTAATTCATTTGTTAATGTACTGTATCAGCATTCGCTAATATGTTTGACATTTTAATTTAAAGATCACAGAATCACAGAATGTTAGGGAATGGAAGGGACCTCGAAAGATCATCTAGTCCAATCCCCCTGCCGGAGCAGGAACCTAAACGAGATTACACAGGAAGGCGTCCAGGCGGGTTTTGAATGTCTCCAGAGAAGGAGACTCCACAACCTCCCTGAGCTGCCTGTTCCTGTGCTCTGTCACCCTTACCTCTTCTCAAGTTTAAGCAGAACCTCCTGTGTTCCAGTTTACACCCATTGCCCCTTGTCCTACCATTGGTTGTCACCGAGAAGAGTCTAGCTCCATCCTCATGACACTCACCCTTTATATATTTATAAACATTAATA